TTATGCGCAACCACAGAAGTAGAACTAGAAGACGATCCGGAACTGGAATGGGAGCTAGAACGCAAGCTAGTATCGGGAGAGGAGGCACCGGAGTCAGAAATCGATGTCGAAGATGAGGATGACGAACTCTCATCACTGCTAGTGTGCTCGGTGCCAGACGTGGAGGGATCCGCAGGATCAATCTCAGGATCCGTGGCTGGAAAGTGAACTCGGACGAGTCCAAGAAGCTTAAGTAAGGAGGAGATGATGCTGCGGACTCTGAAGTACTGTAGTAGAGCTGATGTTCCAAAAAAACCACTTGTCATGATACACAAACTCTGGGGGCAGCTACATCATAGCACACATAACCCACCCTTATGTTCCTCTGAGTGTCCCAAGAAAACACATTTAATAGACTTGCGAGTAAGCTTACTGCGTTCACGGCGAGTTAAGAGAACATAACAGACACATTCGAATACGCGCAACCGACCATAATTTGGAACCTGAGAATATAAAGCCTTATATGGACTCTGTTGCTGAAGAATAGGTGTAATCTAACGATTAATCAAGTATACCTTTGTATGTACTGCTTCAACCCAAAACCCAGAAGGAACTAGTGAGTGAAATAGAATTGCCTGGGTCAATTTAAGAACATGGCGATGTTTACGCTAGACCAAGCCGTTCTGCTGTGACACACTCGGACATGACTGTTGAGAAATTATACCCTGTTCCTTCAGCAAATTCTGCAAAGGATGTGATGTAAACTCCTCTCCAGGATCTGATCGCAATATCTTAACAACCCGATTAAACTCAGGAGAAACCATGGCTAAGACCTCATGTGCAACTGAATACATCTCAGATTTCTGACGAAGAAAATATACCCACGTAAATCGGGTAGCATGATTCACAAACAATGCAAAGTAACGATATCCAAGTCTAGAAGTAACGGGAGAGGGACCCCACAAATCAGTGTGCACAAGATCAAATGGTACCCAATAAACGGTAGTACTCGAATTAAAAGAATTATGCGTCATCTTAGCTTGCAAACAATTAGCGCATTCATGAATCTGATTATTCAAAACAAAACCCGACAACAATTTATTCCGAAACATAGTACGAAGTGTCACAGAACTGTAGGGATGAGAATGGGTCGGGTCGGGGACGGATAATGCATATCCGTTACCCTACCCAAATTAGTTCGAGTTTTACCCATACTCATACCTACATAAGAAACAGGTAGAAAATCCAAATCATGCCCATACCCGTTCGGGTTTCGGGTATCCACGGTTATCCATGGGTAATAATATTTTTTTATAACTCCAACCAATATGTTAATATTTACACATGTTCTCATGTTAGGTAAGACAAAAAGTACAACAATAATTTACTAGAATGAAGAAAATTATTAAAACAACACAATTTCATAACAAAATTATATTTATATGTTACATATAAAATATGTTAGAGAAAAATATTGATTATTTATAGACAAAATACATATGCATGTGTATAATCGGGCGGGTTCGGGTTGGATAGTGAGAAAACCATGCCCACCCGTTACCCGCAATATTCGGATTCGGGTTTTACTTGTACCCACTAAAAGTCCTTAAGGTTTGGATTTTACCCTACCCGATTAGGTCGGATTCGGGCGGCTATCCACGGGTACGGATATTTTTACCATCTCTACTGAATTGGGATGACCCAATAAAAAATATCATAAATCCCAGTCAGATAACTTCACTGGGTAAGCCAAACTATCACTACTAACTCCTCCCTGCCCGATTTTGCTCCATGAAGCTGCCCCGAATGTGAATAAGAATCCAGCAGGAACGATCGACCCTTTTTACTGCCTCTCCCGAGTTCCTTCCCCGTCCTCGTGTCCGACAACCATCATCAGCAAGTTGCCCCACCAAAAACAAGATTGGGCACGAGTTTGGGAACATATAAGGTATCCGGGAGAGACAAATGAGGCCGAACAACACCCACACCATCAACTGACATAACAGACCCATTGGTAGCTTGCAACCCAAGATAGGGAACCGAAGTATCAAGAGAGCGAAAGGCACTACGGGAACTAGTCATATGATTATATGCGGTGGAATCAACATACTAAGATGCAGAAGAAGAATCCTTACATGTGGCAAATGCAGTGGTCAGAGCAGTGGGCAAAACTTCCTTCAACGCCTCTTGAACCAGACGACGAACATCATCGGGTGGGAGAGAGGAGGAGTTCGCAGACTCCACACCAATCTTGGCATATGCCGCACCAGTACCAAATCCCCCACGTGGGCCACTCGGCTTGCCACGGCCACGATGAGCGAGCGTGAGACAATCAGCAATCACGTGACCTTTCTGCTTGCAGTAGTTACACATATTCTTTTTGCGAGTATAGTCTGCAATCAGATGACCCTCCTGCTTACAGTAATTGCAGACATTCCGCTTCTTACAGTGATACTGAATATGGTCGGGTTCTTGGCAATAATGACAAATGATCTCACCCTTCGTAGTATGATGAAATTGAGGTTTCCCTCCAAGAACTGTAAAGGCAGTATGAGAATCACTAGCATGAATATCGAGCTTGGCCTGACTCCTGAGACGAGTTTCCTCACGAAGGAGCTCCCCAAGTATCTCATCCATAGTCTCCACATTGCGATGCAAAAGAGATGCTCGAATCCCTTCGAACCGTAGATTCATCAAGAAACGCATAATCCGCGTGCTCGTACGCTCACGGATGACGTCAGCCGACGCCGCACCAGTCAATAAAATACTCGTCAAATGATCATGCTCAGCCCAGAGAGTAACCACAGCTTGATAGTACGAGCTAATGTCAGAATCACCTTGAGTCAAGCGATCCAGATCACACTCCAGATCAAATTTACGAGAAGCGCTTGGCAAACTCAAAGCAATGCCCAGTTCCATCGTACCAAGCAACAAGCACATAAAACTCACATTGGAAGCAACCCAATCCTCCTTGGCCTTGGGTGTCTCATTCGCATCGGGTTCCTTGGCAGAACCGTCGAGAAAAGACAGCAAACGACGACCTTGAACATGAAGCTTGAATTGAAAAGCCCACAGAGCATAGTCCTTACCGGTAAAACGTACCGCAATTGCATCATTCTTCAAACCCTCCATGATGAAGTAATAAACATGATGAGAGGACAAGCCAGCCAAAGTCACACTAGAAATAGAAGCCAAAGACATCACCAGTATCCAGAAAAGGAACGCAATACCAGGCCAGCCAAACCGAGAATGAAAGCCGACGGGAATGAATAAGAATCCAGTGCTGGTGGAGAAGGAACCGAAGTATGATTATGGAGAGAGCCTGACCAAGTTACCAGCAAAATCGAGAAAGAGATCAGCCGGCGGAGATAACCAATAAAAATACCGCCCGCCAACCAGAAGCACACGAACACGGAGCAGTCGAAACCCAACGCGCAGACTAGAACACCAGCTCAAAAATCAAAAGCGCAAGGCTCTGTTACCATGTCAAAACCCTAACTGAATCAAAAGAACATGAACACGGGACACGGGATTTACGTGGTTTCCTCAATGATGATCGTTGAGACTAGTCCACAGCACAAGGCAGTTCGTAATTCTTATTACGTACATATGTGTTACATAATAAGATGACATTCACAACAATATATACTCGGCCGATCTACACTAACCCTAAAGGTTAATTACAAAATAGTCTAATTTCTAACAGTAGCTAGCTCTGCAACGTTAAAATTATAATAATTAGTATCTCTAATAACTTAATAGTGAGATTAAAATACAATTATGGTGGGGGAATTAACATTCAGTGATACCTTAAAAGTACCTGTTTCTTGAAAATAAATACTAGAAAGTGGGTGTTCGAGAGAGTCGAGAATCACGAGTTTGGAGGCTAAAGGAGGACGTGAGCTAGTTGAGGTTTTGAAGTGAGCAATCAGTGGTTATGGGTTGGTTATATATTTAAGATATTTGAAACGGAGTAAATTAATCCAACCCAACCCACTCTATTTTTTTCACATTTCCAAAAATCTCCACCAATGACTGATATGCTCCTTTTGCTTTGGGAGCTATTAGTGTCATGGGAGCCAGCTGATTTATTTTTTATTTTTTTATTAATGCCTCATATTGCACTCGTTTTAATCTCAAGCATTGCCTCATTGGTGCATAATATATTCTATTACGTGTGTCTGTCGGTTTTTACCTCAAGTTGTACTTTTTAATCTTTATTTGTAATGGCTCGGTTCCATATCATAACCTTTTTATTTGTGAACATATCCACAGACTAATGAGTTGATTACTTGATTATGATATTACGTAATTTAAACCCGAATTGAACAACAATAATAGCCGAAAACCAACCCACGGGCTGATCCGACCCATATTCACTACTACAAGCCAGCCAAGAGCCCAAGTACCCGAGTACCCCCAAGGAGGACAGGAATCCACGGATTTGGAATTTGGATCAGTCAAACAGTAGTACCCACTAACTTAGCACAGATCTTCTATATTTTATACCATACTCTAATACTGTTATTCTATATATATAAAATATACCTTTTGTTTTTAGGTTATTCTTTGATTCTTTTCCCTCAAATAATTGTCTGATGTGGAGAAGTACCGAAGTTTTCAGGACCTGAATTATTGGTCAATGGTCACTGGCAGCCTCCGGCAGAAAATTCAAATGATTCATTTGAAACCTCCTTCATCTAATCGACTATGTTGTTATTACCTTAAATGAATTGCCTTATTTATTTGACGTTTCAATAAACGAAATATTTACTGCTTAAATTAATCCAAACTTAATGCCGGTGGTTAATTTTCCTTTCTTCCCAACATTTCAACTTTCACCAGTAAAAAAAAAAAAAAAAATTGTCAACTTTCAACTTCGTGTAAAAGTCAACCGGTACCAAAGATAATACCACTTTCTCTCGTCTTTCTTTCACATACCCACACAGAATCAACTATCAAGCAAACACGCCAACCAACCAACCAAACAAAATTGACCACCACAACAGATTACATTGTATTTACAGCCCAACACAATTCCTAGTAACAGTAACTCCGCCGTCGACGACAAGGTTGTGCCCGCTGACGTACCTCGACTCGTCGGAAGCCAAGTAAAGCGCCGCCTCCGCTACATCCCTTGCCCTCAACGTCGGCCCTTTCAGATTCGCCAACCCTCTGACGAACTCCTCCATCTCCTCCACCTCTTCCTCGCTCGGCACCGTCCCCCCCAACCCACCGCCACATTCCTCCTCCTCCTCCTCCTCCTCATCCCCACCACCGCCGCGTCCCCGCCACGCGTCCACCAGCATCGACGTGGCCACCCCGAACGGCGAAATGCAGTTCACCCGGATCCCGTACCTCCCCAGCTCGCACGCCGCGTTCTTCGTCAGCCCCACCACCGCGTGCTTCGACGCCGTGTACGCGTGCGGGCCCATCCCGCCCATCACCCCGGCCACGCTCGCCGTCGACACGACGCAACCCCCGCCACGCGCCACCATGGCGCGTGCCGCGTGCTTGATCCCGAGCGCGGCGCCCCGGACGTTGACCCGCATCACCCGCTCGAACTCGTCCGCGTCCAGCTCCAGGATGCTCTTCCTGCTCTTCGTCTGGGACCCCAGCACCCCGGCGTTGTTGAACATCACGTCCACCCGCCCGTACCGCGACACCGTGGAGGTCACGAGGTCCTCCACGTCGGCCTCCGAGCTGACGTCGCAGTGGACGTACGACACCGACGCGGACAGCGACTCCGCCAGCGCCGAGCCCAGCTTGTCCTCCACGTCGGCGATCACCACCTTGGCGCCGTGCCGGGCGAAGAGGCGCACCGTCGCCTCGCCTATCCCGCGGGCGCCACCTGTCACGATGGCGATCTTCCCTTCCAGTCTATATTTAAAAAAAAAAACAAAAGCAAACCTGATTAGTGAGCAAAATTCAATTGTACGTACCGTAATTACTAGTGAGAAAATGTGTGTGGATTACCTTCTGGGAGGGAGAGGGGCGGGGTGGGAATCCCTGGGGGAGAGGGAATGGATGGAAGGTTGTGGCGGATGGGTTTGCTCCGGCATGACTTGAGCACCCATGGCGTGGCGGCGGTGGGAAGAAGATTAGGGTGGTGGTGGAGTAGAGAATGGGCTTGGTTGGGTTGGGATGGGAGGGAGTAACGAGTTGTGGCTATTTATAATAGGAAGGGAGGGAGGGGAAAGAGAGAGAGAGGACGACAAATATAATAAGTAACACTGACAAAAAAACAAGTGGACGCTAGCTAGCAAGCTTGCTACTTTGTTCTCTTCTCTCTCGCACCCTTGTCCTTGTGCCTGCGTAGCTTCCGTTGAAATTGGAGAAGGGAGGGGGAAATGGGGAAAAGAACAAAACAAAGTCGTATGTGTGGACTGCTGGAGTATTAGTTTACTACTTCCGCTTTCTTCTTTTATTGCTGTCTCTGATCAACTTCACTTTATGAGTCTAATAAAAGAGGGAGCCAAAACTTTGTAGTGATGTGTATTTAATTGATGGTTTACCAAAAAGGAGAGCTTTAATGGCATACTATTTATAAATATTCCCACTAACGGTACTACCACAGCATCCATACCACGTCTAGATGGTAGATTGAAGTAATAGCTGCAATAAAAATCGAAACGGATAGTTTGATCTATCATAAATTTAGTCATGAATTGATTATAACTATTTTTTTTAAATGTTCTACCATGATTTTTTTTTTCTCATAGGTGAGTCTCTTGTATTTGTATGTTTTTATTATTATTAAAGGGAGGCTGAAACAGCGAAAGGAATACAAAGGTTAAAGCCTCTAGAATTGGAGACTTTAGCAAAACTGGGCCAAAACAGAGGACTTTCAAACAAATCTACTGGTGACGCCGTATCGGAGTTTGGTGAGGAAAGCTGACTCCGATAATGTCCTCCTGCAACATTCTTTCTAGGTTCACCAGGTGTTCTTCTAGTTCATGCATGTGTACCGAAGGGATAAACGAGACTGTACTTCGAAAGCTAGTATGCGACTTTATTCCCCTCGCTGTACGTATGAACCATATGAACCACCCAGCTTTAAGCAAGGAGATGACGAAATATTCCAAGAATTTTCACATAGGGGTGATTCGAATTTGTGTGCTTTTGAATCTAATCAAGCGGTAATTGCGATTCTGATTCAATATCAATAACTCTGCCCCTTTCCGCCAACCCAGCTGGACTCCTTGCTGGATGCCCAAAACTCTGCCATCAACGTTGTACTTGTACCAAATTTGCTGAAATCCCCTAGCTAATCTCTATATTAATTCCAAAGAACTCCCTAAGCCGAAGCTAGTCCTTGTTTAACTTGGGCAGCGCCATCAGTATTTATTTTCTACCACTCTGGTTTGGTGGGTGACCAACCTATCAGTTTCTGAATTCGATCCAGTGATGCAAGCAGAGCTTCCTTGTGGTTTGATGCCTCCCAAGCTATAGTCCATTTCTGGGCCTTGGCAGTAATGTAGTCGTCAAATACTGATGGGGAGAGCTTGATTCCTTTAAAAGCATTGTCATTTTGACATTTCCAGATATATCAGATCAACAAGGAAAAATAGCTAGCCCTATTGCATATTCAATTTCCTTGAGAGTACCTCGTTAGCTTGGTCTCTAACCATCTGTTATAACTGTTGCTGAAGAACTCAGCCAGACATTCTGGTGAGACTATCTTATTCCAAAGACCTTTGACTATGTGGCAATCCCTGAGGCAATGGGGACTAGTTTCTGGAGCTACTTTGCAGTTTGAGCACAAATCATCTTTGGTAAGGTGCCTGACATTCCCTACTGCATTAGTGGTTAACTTCTCCTTCATTGTCATCCAAACAAACATCTGCAGCCTTTCAACGACTTGGAGTCTCCATATTTACTTCCAAATAATTTGTAGATTTGTGTCCATGGAGGTTAAGCTTTTATAAGCCGAACTTGTTGAGAATTGTCCTGAAGAAGTTAGGCTCCAAAAGGGCCTGTCACCATTGGTTGCAAGGGGGTCGATAAGGATAGCACGAATCTGGTTGACAATCTGAAGCAGCGGTAGGTTTTCAAAATCGTCCATTTTCCAGCCATACTTTGCATCCCAAAGTTCCGCTACAAGGTTGTTTCTTTTGTCTTCGGCAATTTTGCTTGTTGCCATTTCTATGAGCGGTACATGCAACACCCAAGGATCCCACCACAATTTAGCAACCTTACTATTAGTAATATTAAGTGCATAGGCTTTTTTTAAGCACGTTCACCACAGAGGTGAGGGTTGCTAGTCCTTCTCTTGTCCGCATATACTTATTTTTCATGACCCTAGCCCACATGGCCTGGTTCTTAGTAGGTATTTCCAGCCTCCCTTAGCAAGCATTGCTTGGTTTGTCTCTCTTGTGGGTCTGATCCCAACTCCTCCTTGGATTCGAGGTTGAGTCAGTTGATCCCACGCTATATGGTGAAACTTGGATTTGCCTTCTTCTACCCACACAAACTATCTGTTGATCCTGTCAAGGGAATTGCAGACAAATGGATAAATGCTTCGGTAAACATATGATATATAGTCATAGAAGTAGAGAGCGATATCACCAGGGTAACTCCCGCTGCTAAAGAAAGATATGTTGTTTCCACAAGCCTAGTTTTCTGCATTCTCAAGTAAATTTCTTTGTATCTTGCTTTTGTAACACGATCGTTAATAACATTAAAGCCCCCATACCACGTCCAGATGGTAGATAGACGTAATATCTACAATAAAAATCAAAACGAATAGTTTGATTTATCATAAATTTAGCCATGAATTGATTATAACTATTTTATAAATGTTCTACGTTGATTTACTTCATAGGTGAATCCCTTGTATTTGTATGTTTTTTTATTAAAGGGAGGCTGAAACAGCCGAAAGGAATACAAAGGCAAAAGCCTCTAAAAAAAATCTACCGAAGCACAAGTCGACGACCCAAACAGTCGTGCTGAAGCCGTATAAGAGTTTGGCGAGGAAAGCTAACTCTGATAATGTCCTCCTCCAACATTCTTTCCAGGTTCGTTGGGGGTTCTTCTAGTTCAGGTGTACCGAAGTGATAGACGAGACTGTGCTTTGAGAGCTTTTTCGCGACTCTATTCCCCTCTCTGTATCTATAAGACACCGAATTAGTACAAGAATTGTCACGTAGGAGTGAACCAAATCTGTGTGCTTTTGAATAAGATCAAGCCCTAATTGCGAGTCCGATTCCAGAATCAAGAACTCTACCCCATCCCGCCAAGACAACAGGAGTCCCTGGTGGTTGCCCCAAAAATCTGCCATCAACGTTATATCTGCACCAGTCTTGCTACAAAATCCCCCTAGCCAATCTCCATAGCAATTCCGGATAACTCCCCAAGCCGAAGCTAGTCGTTGTTTAACTTGGGTAGCGCCATCAATATTTATTTTCCACCACCCTAGTTTGGGGGTGACCAACCTATCAGTTTCTGAGTCCGGTTTGGTGATGCAAGCAGAGCTTCCTTGCGGTTTGCTGCATCTCAAGCTTTAGTCCATTCTTGAGTCTTGACGGTAATGTAGTCACATAATGTCAATGGGGAGAGCTTGAAATTCCTTTAAAAGCATTGTCATTTCGACATTTCAAGATATACCGATCCACAGGGCAAAATAGCTAGCCCAACTGCCGACCCAATTTCCTTGAGAGTCCTTGTTAGATTGTCTCTAGCCATCTGTTATAATTGTTGCTGTAAAAATCAGTCATACATTCTGGTGGGACTATCTTGTTCCAAAGAGCTATGATCATGTCACAATCCCTGAGCAAATGGAGACTAGTTTCTGAAGCTACTTTGCAATTCATGCACAAATCGTCTTTGGTGAGGTGTCAGGCTTTCCGGACTGCATTAGTGGTTAACTTCTCCTTCATTTCCATCCAAACGATCATCTTCACCCTTTCAGCGACTTGGAGTCTCCATATTTTCTTCCACATAATTTATTGACTTGTGTTCTTGGAGGTTATGCTTTTATAAGCCGAACTTGTTGAGAATTGTCCTGAATAAGTTAGGCTCCAAAAGGGCATGTCATATTTGGTTGCAAGGGGGTAGACCAGGATAGCACGAATCTGGTTGACTATCTTAAGCGGATAGTAGGTTTTCAAACTCGTCCATGTTCCAGCCATGCTCTGCATCCCAAAGATCCGCTACAAGGTTGTTAATTTTGTCTTCAACAATTTTGATGTTGCCATTTCTATCAGCGGTACCTGCGACACCCATGGATCCAACCAGAATTTAGCAACCTTATCATTAGTAATATTAAGTGCATAGCCCTTTTAGCAAGTTCACTACAGTGGTGAAGCTACGCGAGGTGAAGGAACTTCCCTTTGTCTTAGTGAGGGTTGCTAATCCTTATCTTGTCCGCTCATATTTATTTTTCATTACCCTAGTCCACAGGATCTGGTCGTTAGTAGCTAGTTTCCAGTCTCTCTTAGAAAGCATTGCTTGGTTGGTCGCTCTTGGGGTCTGATCCCAACTCTTGCTTGGATTCGAGGTTGAGTCATTTGATCCCACGCTATCAGTTGAAACTTGGATTTCCCTTCTTCTCCCCACACAAACTGTTTGTTGATCCTATGAAGGGAATTGCAGATAGACATAGAAAGTGCTTCGGTAAACATATGATATATAGCCATAGAATAAGAGAGAGATCTCACTAGGGTAACTCGCGCTGCTAAAGAAAGATATGTGATTTTCCACAAGCTGTGTATTTTCTGTTTTCTCATGCAAATTTCTTTGTATCTTGCTTTTGTAACGTAGTCGTTAATAGCATTAATGCCACAGTATTTCCCCAAGTCATTGGTCAGAGTAATGCCTGCCTTATCACTTAAGGTTGAGCTTTGTTTCTCGACACATTGGCTGAGACTATCATAACCGATTTGAGAAGGTTCAATCATTGGCCGTTTCTGTTGGTGTCAATCGGGTTTCCTTCTGCTTCCGCAAATAAGACTAAATCGTCTATAAAGAAAAGATGTGACAAGTTAGGTCCATTATGTGAAAGTGTCAGGGGCTTCCAAGAACGAGCATCAACAACTTTCTCAATTTTGTGAGCTAATCTTTCCATGCACAGAAAAAATAATTAAGGGAAAAGGGATCTCCTTGTCGAACTCCTCTGGGTGGATTGATACACTC